GTGAACCTATGGCATGGGGCTTGCATGCTGTCTTTGCTGCCATCTGGCAATCCAGTATCATTCCCCTGGACCTGCTGAGGGGCGTGGTACTCCCTCTCTGGAAGGAGAAAGGGGATCGATGAGAAAACAGCAACTACCGAGATATCACACTGCCCAGATCACCAGATAAGGTTCACACATTCTTCTGAGACGTATCCCAGACCTGCTAAGGTACCAGGGACAGACTGGAGCAATCTGGATTCAATCCTGGCAGGTCCACAATAGCCTAGCACCTTGTCACTGAAACACCATCATGAGTTTGGTCGTGGGCTTCTTGCTGCCTACATCAGTGTCAAGAAGGCATTTGACTCTGTGCATCCCAGATCAGTATGGAAGATCCTGAGACTTGCGGAAATTCTGACAAGGATTATTGGACTAATAGCAAGCCTGAATACTATTAATGAAACTACCGTAAAGTGTGGTAGGGGTCTGTCGAGATTTTTCCGTTAACTGAGGAGTGAGGCAAGGCTGCGTTTTGCACCAATACTTTTCAACATTTGCATGGACTGGATAGCAGGTTGAGCTACTATCCAAAGTAACAGTGGAGCAACACTGCTTAATATCAAGGTAACTGACCTTGACTTTGCTATCGAAATTGCTATCCTGAGTCCCTAGAATCTCTGGTGGCAGTCTTTGATGTATTCAGCAATGAGGTAAAACCCTTGACTAGAGGTCTCTTGGACCAAGATTTAGGATTTGGGGGACCAGTTAGGAGACCCTGTTCAGTCGGTAGATGCTTGTGGCGAGAACAATGATGAATACGCGTTTGATTGCTTATGTATAATAGTGAGGGGAGGGAATCACTTGCGTCCCTGTGTATTCTGAAGTTCCTCCTCAACGGACATATCTTAACGACGCCCTGATATGCCCGTGTGTGTTTGTGTGTGTGTGTGTGTTGTCAGTTACATACTCACGCGTGTAGATATATTCATACTATATGTGCATGTTTTCTTCCTGCACCCAGAAGCAAAATGAGAAGCGGTTTCGGCGTGCCCTTACCACTTCCCGAGATGAAAGAGGCATATACGCGCCGCTCCTTCCTCAACCTGGTGCCACTCTACCTACCGGACGCGCAGAGAGCCAACACCGAGTGCCGCAGAGACCTGTTGGCACTCTATCGCAGTTTAAACGACCTGGAGGAGTTGGTCAAGAATGGGACCCTGTGGCCTTTACAATGTAAGGAGAGAGCCAGTGATGTAGGCCTATCTTACTTTGCCTAACTCTTACAGAACTTCTCAACAATAGAAAAGAACAAATGTTACAAAAGATAGATTCTTCACAACTATTACAAATATCTATTACTTTTTTTCCTATTGCTCTTAGTGGTTGACTCGTGGGGGAAGTTCGCAGACGGGATGCTGGTCGGCAACCTAAAGCTCATGGGTTTCTTCGGGGAGTGTGTGCGCATCTCCGTGACACAGGACGATGCTGACTTCAGGGGACAGTACTGCTTCCTCTCCTACGGGTCAGTCAGAGAGAGTGAATAAGTAAGAGCGTAAGGAAGAGGGAAGAATAGGTAGAGATATAAAAATATAGAGAGATAAGAAGATAGAGAGAGATAGGTAGCGACAAATATAGAGCAGCGATTTCTGGGGGGTAACGAGACACTTTCTAAAACGGATAAGTCTTTGGAGTGAATTAATAAATAATACTGATACATGGATGAGTGAATAAACAAATATATAAATATGTAAATGATACATAATACGTAATATTCTGTATTATTCAAAACGAAACGATTTACCGTTGATGAAAAGGTAAACAAAGACTGGGACAAAGCTTGAATTTCTTAAATTAACAGATAAAACTCTGGAAATGGATTATCAAAATATTACAAGAATATGAGATAATTTTTAAAAATATAAAAATATTTTGTAAAGAAATATAATGTCCCATTGAAAGATTAACTAAATTAAGCATTGAATAATTTACTGGAAAAGGATATCCCTTCTCATCTCTTTTGCCATTTATAGGCTTTTAGTTTCTCGTAAAATCAAAGTCGGGAACCAAACGGCAGACGCAGCTGCTAATATGCAATTCGCCTTGTCCTGTTAAACACTACCATTAAAATTGCATTAAAGGACAAAATGCCAAATTTCCCATCTGTAGTATAGTAATAATATCCATTCTATATTACCTGCCAGTAAAATAATTCGTTGATTTGAATTTGTAATAGAAAGAAAAATTTGCCAGCTTCATTTCTGGTCAAAGGAATGTGATCTGAACTCTTCATTTCTTGCGGAAACTTAATTTCTTACATGCAAAATACGTTTAAAAAAATGAGATTAAAAATAAAGTCAACTTTCCTTAGCAAAAGAGGAATAATGTAGTGCTAACAGTAAACTCATATCACAACAGTGCAAGCGATAACGATAACAATTAAGTTGAAACCCGCTGATAAAGAGAGATAGCGATAGATCTATAGATACAGAGAGGCAGATAGACAGATGAAAATATATAGAGATAAATAGGTAGATAGAGCGCGCGCGCGAGAGAGAGAGAGAGAGAAAGAGAAAGAGAAAGGAAACGAGAGAGAGAGAAAGAGAAAGAAAAAGAAAGAGAAAAAAAGCAACAGGACAAGACCTGAATACCCTCCCCCCCAAAAAAAATGTTTTCTCGCCCCTGCAGAGCCGCCAAGAACTCCAGCAACACAACGGAGGAGTGGAAGGACCTCCGCACGCCGATGCTGTCCTCGATGCTGCATCCGTCCCTGCTCACCGCCTACGCCACCTGCATGCCGTCCACCTGCACGCGAGAGGAACTCAGGGTGAGTTTTGTGTCAAGAATATTTAAAATGCCTCGATGTTACTCAAGAGCATTTCAACAACACGTGTGTGTGTGCGCACACCACACACACACACACACACACCACACACACACACACACNGAAAACAAAAAAAATTGTGGGGAAATTCCCGACTTTCCTCGCAAAAATACCATTTTAAATTAAGTAAAAACCCACAAATAAATTTAGCGCAAACTCAGACAAATACGTCCCAAGTTCCTCAAAACCAATCTTGCAGTTTCCAATATATCACGTGATTTCTTCTTATACATATGAGTGTAATGTGTGATCAGAGTGAAAAAATATATCAATACAACACTCTTAATGTGATATAATAAAATAGTGAATAAACTCTCGCTATATGTTATAATGTTAGGATATATATTGTCTATTAATAATATTTTTCTATGTACTATGTGCAAAGTGTATTATGGAAAGCCTACTAAAAAAAAACGAGGCAAAAGGTGTGATAATGTTAATGATCTTATATATGATCTCTTTATTAAATAGGAAAAGAATTAACATGAAACTAATTAAAAAAGGAAGGCTTAACAGGAAGCTATTAAAAAGAAGGAAAAGAAACTATTAAAAAGGAGGATTAAGGAGAAACTTATTAAAAGCCTTTGGGATTACGAAGAGAACTAATTAAAAAAGGATAAGACATTAAAACAAAATCAGCCAACGCCCACCCAAATGCCAGGACCCTCGGAATTTTTCGCTGACTAGAACCAGCGGTCGCCAGATAAAGTTACGCGTTCTAGAAGTCCTAAGGAATTTTTAATCCTACGGGTCAGCATTTCCTATCGCATCCTTCGCATCGACCAGAGACCACACTAGACTCGCACACGGGAACGGCGGAGGAAGAAAGGAGAGGAGAAGAGGAGGAATTGGTGTCCTTTCCTCCTTCTGGGAACGGACTGCCGAAGGAAGTGAAGGGGGAGGGGGGGGGAGAACAGGAAGGCAAAGGGCGGAATGTAAAAAGGTGGAGATATAGGAGAGTGGTGGGGGTAGAGTGCGAGGGAGAGTGCGAGGGAGAGGGAAGGGAGAGGGAGGGGAGAGGGAGAGGGAGAGGGAGAGGGAGAGGGAGAGGGAGAGGGAGAGGGAGAGGGAGAGGAGAGGGAGAGGGGAGAGAGAGAGAGGAGAGAGAGAGAGAAGAGAGAAGAGAGGAGAGAGAGAGAGAGAGAGAGAGAGAGAGAGAGAGAGAGAAAGAGAGGAGAGATAGAGAGAGAGAGAGAGAGGGGGAGAGGAGAGGGAGAGGGAGAGGGAGAGGAAGAGGGAGAGGGAGAGAAAGAGAGAGAGAGAGAAGAAATAGATAAAGAGAGAGAGAAAAAAGAGCGAAACAGAACAGAGACAGGGAGACACCGAAGACAGAAGCAAAGAGACACACCCAGAAACAGACAAGCCAAACGCACAGACCTACAGACCCAAAATCAACCCCCCCAAATAAAAAACAGAGAAAGAATAAGAAAAAGAGAACGATATCTCTCCTTCCCTCTCCAAGCGCGTAGGGTAGACTGGGCTTGAGATTAATAGCGCTGCGGTGAAACGACATATTGTGATAGATTTATTGGCAAGAGGAGGGCGTGGTCGAGAGGCTTCGAACCGGCCCGCGTTATTACAACGGCGCCGCCAATAATTCATGTTCATATATTTCGAAAATGGAATGTATATTTTTGGAATGTCATTGATGTCATCTGATATGTAAATCTAAATATACGATGCATGGGTACGCGCGCACCTCCCTCTCTCCCTCTAGGACAAAAAAATATATTTGCACTTATTATGAACTAGCTTATGTCAACGCTTCTTGGTTTAAGTGTACATACATGCCTCGTACACACACACACACACACACACACACACACACACACACACACACACACAAACACACACACACACACACACACACACACACACACACACACACACGCGCGCCGCGCGCGGGCGCGCGCGCCGCGCGTACAATTAGGTCGCATGTCAAAACACACCAACCATTCATGCATGCATATGCACCCTTACAAATATGCATATACACATAGTATATGTGCAGTTTTTGTATATGTATGTTTACATACATGTATGAATGTATATATGCATGTATTTGTGTGCGTGTGAGTGTCTGTCAATCTATCCATATCTATATCTGTGCATCTATAGTCAGATTAATATAGATATAAATACATATCATACTTGAATATACATATATATTCAAGTATGTGTTGTGTTGTAATGTATCCCATTTCATAGCACTGCATTGTTTGTATACTGTATCATATAATATTACATCACACTGCATTGTCTCCACTGTACTGCCGATTCACACCCCAAAGACACTATACACGCACCCAAACACCCAACCATTCCTCCTCGACTTCCGCCTCCTGCTTCAGGAAAATCCCCACCACCACTCGAGTCGCAGCGCATATTAAGAGCTCATCCCAAGTGGCACTCCGACCCTACGCCACTGAGCCATCCCGCCCTGCTCTCTACGCGGCGACAGGAGCCAAAAAACGGTAACAGGAGACGGCGCCCAAACAAAGGGAGGGTTTCGACTGACATAAAGCTTTCTCGTAATAGGATAGGCGACATCCCTGCGATAAAGAGCTGCGGGGTGGGAGGTGGGAGGGTGGGGGGGGGCGGTGGAGGAGTGTCATGGATAATGTTGAGGACCTGGACGGTGGGGATGCTGTTTGTGGTGAGTGAGGGTGAGGAGGATGGTGATGTGTGAGTCGAAAGTGGTGGTGATGAGAATGACGATGGCGTGAGTCGAGGGAGATGATGATGGGGATGACGACGGCGTGAGTAGACAGTGGTGATGATAATGGGTATGACGATGTGAGTCGAAAGTGGTGATGATAATGAGGATGGCGATGGCGTCTGTCGTGTGTGATGACCGTGAGGATGACGTCAACCGTGAGTGTGATGATGATGGCGTCATAAGGGTAATGACGATGACGATAGCATAAGTCGTAATTGTGATGATGGTGTCCGTCGTATGTGAGATAACGGTGTAATGGGTGAAAGTCGACGATGAGGATTGGTGTAGTGTGAGGCGTGAGTGAGGAAAGCATGGAAGAGCGGGAGAGGGAGTGAGAAGGAGGAGTATATGAAGCATCTATGGTTCATGAACTTCCCACGGCCGCCTCCTCCTCCTCCTACCCCTCCTCCCCCCCCTCCTCACCTCCACCCACCCCTCAAACTCCCATCCCCTCCTCCTGGCTCATTTGGTTAGGGCTAGAACACCGAGGATGAGCCACATCCGTAGTTAGGCACAGGGCGACACACTTACACCCACGTACACAATGGAGGATAGGCACAAAGGACGAGCATATGGGAATTCACCCGAAAAAAACAACCCACGGGGGTGGATGGCGGAATGACAGAATGACAGATTGACAACGGTAGACTGGCATAAAACCAACGTGCAAAGAATGACAGATATAATCCTTTAAACCTTACGTAAAGTCATCCGCGCACACGCCGACACTCACTCACATGCACACACACACGCAGCAGAGAGAGAGAGGGGGGGGGAGAGGAGAGGGAGAGAGAGAGGAAGGAGAGAGGGAGAGAGAAGAAGAGGGAAGGGAGAGAGAGAGAGAGGAGAGGAGGGAGGGAGAGAGAGAGAGAGAGAGAGAGAGAGAGAGAGAGAGAGAGAGAGAGAGAGAGAGAGAGAGAGAGAGAGAGAGAGAGAGAGAGAGAGAGAAGAGAGAAAGAGAAGAGAAAATAAGAAGAGGGTGAGAGTAAGGAAGAGAGATAGGATCAGTTAAGGGAAGAGAAAGAGACCGAGATTGAGACAGACAGACAGACAGACAGACTGACAGACACACACACGCACAGACAAGCAGACACACAGACGCACGTAAGCACAATCCACAAAGCACTTCCTTGGTCTAACAGTATTATCAAGGGCGATGCATTTCTCACTCTCTGCTCATGCGTAAATGAATGACACACTGTAAAGTCAAAACGCTTGTTTGTGTGTTTGTGCGGCCGTGCGTGCGTGCGTGCGTGTGTGTGTGTGTGTGTGTGTGTGTGTGGTGTGTGTGTGTGTGTGTGTGTGTGTGTGTGTGGTGTGGGTGTGTTTGTGGTGTTTGTGTGTGGTGTGTTGATGTGTGTGTTGTGTGTGTGTGTACGTGTGTGTGTGTGCGTGTGGCGCGTGTGTCTGCGTGTGCATGTACGTGTTTGGTGTGTGCGGTGTGCATGTATGTGTGTGTGCGTAAGCGTGTGCATGTACGTGTGTGTGCGTGTGCATGTACGTGTGTGTGCGTGTGTGTACGTGTGTGCGTGTGCAATGTACGTGTGTGCGTTGGCGTGTGCATGTACGTGTGCGTGTGCATGTACGTGTGTGCGTGTGCATGTAACGTGTGTGCGGTGTGCATGGTACGTGTTGCATGTACGTGTGTCCGTTTGCATGTACGTGTGTGTGCGTGTACATGTACGTGTATGTGCGTGTGCTTATGCATGTACGTGTGTGTGCGTGTACATGTAGGTGTGTGTATGTGCTTGTGCATGTTACGTGTGTGTGTGTGTGTGTGTGTGTGTGTGCATGTACGTGTGTGTGTGTGTGCGTGTGCATGTACGTGTGTGTGCGTGTGCATGTACGTGTGTGGTGGCGTGCGCGTGTGCATGTACGTGTGTGTGCGTGTGCAAGTACGTGCGTGCATGTGCATGTACGTGTGTGCGTGTGCGTGTGCGTGTGCATGTACGTGTGTGTGTGTGTGTGTGTGTACGTGTGTGCGTGTGCGTGTGCGTGTGCATGTACGTGTGTGCGTGTGCCTGTGCGTGTGCATGTACGTGTGGGTGTGCACGTACGTGTGTGTGTCAATGTCTGAGGTTGTGAGTGAAGCCTTACGTCGCCTAAAAGGCTTCGAGTCCAGATTGACGCTCCGGTTCCTCACACGTGACTTGGGGCCTCGGGTGGAGATGCAGCTCCGGGAAATGTGGGAGATCCGGCGGGAGTGTTGCCGGTGCACATGTACATACACATATGTTCATGCACACATGCACACACAAACTTACATGCATGCACACATCCACCACACACATACACACACAAATTATATATATATATATATATATTATATATATATATATATATCATATACATATATTATATATATATATATTTATATATATATATATATGTAAGTATGTATGTATGTATGTATACACACACACACACACACACACACACACCACCCCACACACAACACACACACACACAACACAACACACACACACACACACACACACACACACACACACACATACACATACATATCATACATACATATGCATATATATATATATAGATAGATAGATAGATAGATAGATAGATAGATAGATAGATAGATAGATAGATAGATGATAGATAGATAGATAGATAGATAGGATACATACATACATACATATATATAGATACAATACAAACATACATTATATATATATATATATATAATATAATATATATATTATATAATGTATTTAGCATAATATGTATATATGTATTAGTATATATATTATATATATATATATATAAATATAGAATACGATATAGATATAGGATACGCATATATATATGATAGCAATAACATACATTACATACCGATATATAATTATAAGTATCATATAGTAGATATCATAGTAATGTATATATAGCAATATGTATACTATAAATAGTATTGTGAGTTATATGTAATATAATATATATAAATATAATATACTATATATACTATTATTGATATAGTATACTATATATATAGTACTAACACATGCCATGTAACACACACACACACTACACACACAAAAGCACGCACACACACACAACACACAAC